ATGTGCACAGATGGAAGTAAAACTCAGCAGAAAACCAGCAGGTGGTGGGGAGAGAAAGGGATGGGTGAAGTCATACCTAATGGGTACAATGTACACTATCTAGGTGATGGGCACACTTATAACTTGGACTTAAGCAGTACAAAAGCAATCCATGTAACCAAAACGTTTGTACTCCTATAAGATTCTGAAATAAAAAATTAATTAATTAATTAAATAGATAAAACTACAAAGGAAAACATATCAAAATGTAATTACCACATATATTTATTATATATTTTATATATATTAATATATATTATAATATATTTATATATTATATATAACATATTATATATATATATAATAATATATAATATATAGCTTAATATATTTTTATTAAGCTATAGTAACAAGTGATCTTTTTAATAACCCCATAAAATAATCAAACCTAATGACAAATAACTAACAATATCATATCAGAGTAGTGATGAGCATAAACCATATTTCAAGATATCAGAAACAACTGTAAGGTGATATGAAAATATCAGGTACTCCTATTTGTGTGGTTTGTTGCCTACATTCATAGTAGGTTACTACAATACAAATGTAATTTTTTAAACCATCTTTTTTCATAAACTCCCTAAAATCTATCCATAGATCCCTTAGAAATCTATGAACTCTAGGTTAAGGAATGTTTTAGAGAGCAATGGTTCCGAAAATGTTATCATCAGACCAGAAGCATCACAGTGACCTGGAAACATGTTAGAATTGCAAATTCAAGAGTCCTGGAGGGTTTTAGTTAAATTTGAATACATGAATGAATGGATGGTGCCATGCTCAACTAGGTGAATGTAGGGACAGGAGAAGAGTAACACTCTCATGCAGTATACCTGCTATCCCAAATACGTGCAATCCTTTTATCCTTAAGTGAAAAAACAATGAGACAACGTTATTAAGGGACTTCGGAAAGGTCAATAGCAGATTAGTTGCAGAGCCTAAACTAGGGACTCAGTAATCTGATACTGATGTTCTCATATGTGTCATGATGCAGCACAGCCTGTGATGTGATTTTATATGCTCTGATCCTAGAGTCTTCTCCAAAAGACAGACTGCTTCTTTCCAAGATTTTATAAACTAGGTAAATAACTCCTTTACAGCTGACTACAGCTTTCCATTTAATGACTAGGAGTGGCAATTTACCATCCTTACATGCTATTCCACAAATAGAGAAGGTATGAACAAGTCCCTTCTAGAAAGAAAACTTAGGCATTAATTGAAACAATATTACCAAAGCCAAAGATAATTTCATTCTCAAATACTTTTTTAAAATCCCAGAGAAAGGAGGATTGCTGTCTTGAATGGAAACATATAATTCAATGTAACAAGTTAAAATGAAAGACAAGGAAATTGAACCTGGATGGAGGGCATTCTGACAGCCAATATAATACTAATGAATACAGGAGCACCATTTAAGGGAGTTACTTAAATGCATTTCTCAGCAATAATTTCTCATTGCAAGATTTCATTTCATAGAGCTGTAGATTGGATGACCTACTTGCTATTTTTCTACCTTATTTTCGTATTTGTATACTTAGCACATTTTCAAGATCATGTTGTGTAAGCCCTCTTATAGAAGGTTGTCCAAACCTCTCTAATGATGCCAAGTAACATTTAGCATAGATCTTGAAATGGGCAAGGGATTTCCTAAAAATGAAGATCATTTATTTCCTGTGTATTTTAGTTGGGATATTTTATTATAGATACATCTTTTGTATAGGAAAAATTCATGAAGCTTTTGCTATAGAACATACTAAGGTTAAATAGAAAAAAATCTTGCACAAAAATCACGCAACTTGCCAAAAAAATCTCAATGGAAAATCTCAATGGTCAAAGAATATTAAATCTATGCTATATAAATAACTACAAAGGAAACAAAACATAAGTGAGGAGAGGTCAAGGTTATTGTAGTAAATATGTACACAGAAATAAAAGACTGTGATGAAAGTGCCCTCGTAATTGTTCATACTGTTCTTATCAGGGGAAAAACTTTTGAATAGATTTCTGAGGCTCGCATAAAAGAAATAATTAAGAATTCTAGTCTAACAGCCACATAGACTTGTGTAGTCATGACAAATTTTCAAAAATGAAAATATCTAAATTAAACAACTCACAGCCTTGGAAAATATCTCATGTTCAAAATTGAGTATTATGGGTGGACCACAACTGCCATAAACCCTCACCCAGATTAAACAAATAACTCAATTAGCATGTATTATAAAATTGATAAAATTCATGGAATTACTTTGCAAAGAATAAGTTTGAGAGGTCATAAAATCATAGAAAATAAAATCATAAGCTCTGGGATTTAGAAAGAAGGTTAGTAATCCTATAGTATAATAATTCCTCAGCACTTTTTTATTGCCTTGCTCTTTATTGACTGAACATATTTCTAAACTCTACCACTATAATTTCCTACCTTCCAAGCAAATAAATCTGAGCATAAATTATGCTTTTATTAATGATGAAGTTATCAGCCTAAAAGTATATTAGTTTTATATGCTTTATAACAAAGTATCACATACTTAGTGACTTGAAACAAGACATATTTTATGCTCATAGTTTCTGTGGTTCAGGAGTCTGGTACATTTCGCTAGTCCTTTTTTCAGGATCAATCTGAGAAGACTGAATTCAAAGTCCTACTGGTTGTGGCCTCAGCTCACAGCTGTGGCCAGGGAAAGAAACACATCCAGGCTCCATTAGGCCGTGTCAAAATTCATTTCCTGCCGGGCGGGGTGACTCATGCCTGTAATCCTAGCACTCTGGCAAGCCAAGGTGGGAGGATCACTTGAAGTCAGGAGCTCAAAACCAGCCTGAGCAAGAGTGAGATCTGAGCTCTACTAAAAAGTGGAAAAAATTAGCTGGGCGTGGTAGTACATGCTTGTAGTCCCAGAGACTCGGGAGGCTGAGGCAGAAGGATTGCTTGAGCCCAGGAGTTTGAGGTTGTTGAGAGCTCGGCTGACGCCACGGCACTCTAGCCTGGGCAACAGAGCAAGTCTCTTTCTCAATAAATAAATAAATTCATTTCCTTGTGGTTGTAGGACTGATGCCCCTATTGTTTTATTAGCTGTCAGTGAGGACTGCTTTCTTCTCCTAGAGTCTACACTTGGATTCTTGCCAAGTGGCCCCTTCTATCTCAGAAATGGATAACCTTTCTCAACTGGAATCTCTTTTATGCCTCCTCTGACTTCCCTTGTTTAGACCAGCCAAAGAAAGGGCTCGGGTGATTAGGTCAGGCCCACTAGAATACTCTCCTTGCTTTAAAATCAACTGTTAGCAGCTTCCAAGTGGAGGTTTTTCTAGGTTCTTGGTGATGGTTGGGAGAAATGAATTTTAGGACGCACCATGTAAAGCCAAGCAAACAGCTTCCTATCGAAAGATTGAAAATCAAAATATGCCCTCAAGAGAAGAGAGCAGCCAGGCTCAAAAAGCAGCTGCCCTGGGAAGAAGTGGCTTTTTGTCTTTTGAAGTCTTACTAATTGAGAGGAGGAATATTCAAGGGTACAGAGTTGGTTTTTACTAAGCATTTGGGTAATAATTCCTAGAATTGGCTCCCCTCCCATTTTCATACTTTATATGATTGTTTTGGAACTGTCATGGTGATTTCAAGGGTGGAAAAATTTTAAAACCACAGTGCAAATGTGATCTTATAATTAGTCAAAGTTCAAGTAAGGTGGCAGATTTAGCTGAAAGTCTGGTGTAAGCCAGTTCTTGCCTGCGGTTAGCGGTCCCCTTAGTGAGCTTCTGCCAAGGGTCGTTTACTTTAACACCTGCACCCAGTCGTGGAGCCCTCTCCCCGGGGTTCAGCCCTGTCTCCTCGTCTCCTGTTTTAACACAGCTGTCCCATGTAACATTGCCTGTGAGTCCCTTATATTCGTAGTCTTGAGAATTTTATAGTGTGTGTGACAGGAAAGTGGGGGATCTTGGGAATCATCTTAGAACTCTGCCTGCCATAGAGTTTTATGGAATGGAAAGAACATAAGGCTTTGACATCAGAAAAAGAGGGGTTCAAAAACCTAACTGCACCACCTGATGTATTTATAATAGGTGCTTATTTGAATTATGAGTGAGTAAATATGTAAACAGATGAACAAGGGACTGTAGTGTAAAGGGATGAACTTAACATTTCATCATTGTTTCATCATTGAGAAAGAAAAATAATCACATTGCATTGAAGACTGCCTATGAAAATAAAATGAAATAGCACACAAAAGGATCTTGGCACAGAGTTGACACTGAATAAATTAGTACCTATTAATTTTTCTACAGTAGCATACTATCTAGGCTTACAACTCCTATAGTGACTTCGAATGCTGCAGTGGTCTGGTCCTAACACCAACAATGATTCCAGTCTTTGCTGGGTACATTCATTGTATCAATCAGGATAACAGGGGGTCACAACAATAAAAATCTGTTTGCACATGTTTTCAGACCATATATCACAGGCAGTCTGTGGATCTCTTACATGCTCCAGGACCCAGGCTGATGAGACGCCCCTCACTGAAATATTGCTGGTCTCCAGGGAGAGAGAAAAGGAACATGGTGGAACCACTCAATGGCTCTTAAAGCTTCTGTTCAAATATGGTGCTCATAATTTGCTGGGTGCTCTAAGTCATACACCAAGCCTGGCATCAGTGGGGCAGCAAACATTTTAATATGTATAATCCTCTACAAAAAGGAGCAGCAAACATTTTAATACAATAAATCACATTTTAGTGGTCATCCTTATATGTGCGATTATTTTCAGTTATGCTGCTCATTTTCGCTTTATGTTCAGGGGCTACTTTTTGCTGTCGCATTGTTGGTTTATGTGCTTTGAGATATATTATGGAAGGAGTGATAATATTCAGCTTTTCTTTTTAGAATTTATCTCAGAAAATAATTATTTAAAACTTATAACTAAAAATAATACTCTGAAAAAATATCGCCTGATTATTTTTAAATAATAATCCTAATTCAGAAATACATTTTTAATATATGTTGGCCACTTTTATTTACTGACAAACCATAGCAATACCCCTGTTCAGAACATTTCAAGAATTAGAAAGTAATTCTTTAGAAATCTTGACAGTCAGTATCATTTATTGGAAAGTGAAGTGAGTCAAAAGTTCATTTATTTTATAATGCTATTAATGGTTTATGCTTTCAGTTTCTATTTCTGAGCAATTTTGGAGAAATTGCCCGCATCACTTCTAGTGATCAATGAGATATTGCGTTATCATTTCAATTGCTTTGATTACAGAAACAGAAGATACAATGTAATATAAAGACTTCTACAAATGCAGCAGTTTCTGCGTATAATATTGTTCTTCATATCAAGTGGAAATTCGACATTTCATAATGTTAGAAGTAAGCCACAAAATAATATAACATTACATTAACAGTATATTAACTATAGATCAAATTATTCCCTATACTCTAAAAAAATTTCACAATTTTAAAAAAAAAACGTATCACGCAAAACAGATCTTTCACTACATGAGGGCTTCAATGTTTCCTTAATTTTATCTGAGACGCGGGCCCCCTCTGGTGGTGGAATCTAGGCATTTGCAGAGACTAATTCTAAAGAACAGTTCCAAATTGTTATAAACAGAGCCTTTCAAGGGGAGAGAGATTTGGGTCATTTCCAGTTTTTGAGGCTCTCAGTACATGTAAAAAGTTTCAAAGGGATATACTATATTACAGTGCATGTTAATTTTTTTAGCACGCACAAATACAATGGAATATGATTTTACCCTTTAAAGTGAGAGAAAAGATCAAAAATATTAATTCACAGTATATAGATAGGTGTGTCATCTATTAACAGAATCAGATTTACAGGTGTACAATAAGCAGCTCTCAATAACTAAAACTCTCAATTTGAGTTCCTCTGTTAGTGGGGGACTAGGCAGAGTGTTCCCCCTTCCCAACTCTTCCAGTTTCCTGCCTTGGCTCCCAGCCAACCCTGCTCCGTCTTGTGAACAGACAAATCATCTCAAATGACTCTAAACTAGGAGAAAATCCTTCATATTCAGCACGGCACAGAGCTCGCTCTGTTTCCTTTTCTTCTCTCTTGGTTCAGTGTTAACCATGAAAAGTGAAAACGAAAATCGAGAGAGTGCTCTGGACAGGAAGCAGGGTTCAGTGAGCGCTCTTTAAGCCACGTGGGCGTAGACACGACTTGACGAGCACCAACCCTGCACACTCCTCGAGTCTGCTGCCAAAGATTCTGATTTAGAGGGCTGAGTTTGGTCTTGTGAAATTGAATTTTAACACCCATTTCAGGTTTCTCTGGGTCTATTTGGCTAGAAAAAAATTATTCTTCACCCTGGCTACAAATTAGAATCAACTGGAAAACTTTACAATCCTCATTACTAGACTAATTCAATCAGAATTTCTCAGAATTGTCCAGGCATGTCTGGATGGCTCGAGCACGTGGCCAGTTTGAGAACCGCCAGGCTGGTTCTCGTCGGTGGCACGTTGGTGCCCCACTCAGGCCAAGACCACCAGGGACACAACTGAAGTTCAACAAAGTTGGGTTTTTGACTCATTGCAATGAGAGAGATTGTACACCAGAACTGTGGGTTGGGTGTCTCACTAAACAAAGGCAAAGGTAGAGTTATTACAGCACATAGGAATAGGGTAGAGGTTAGTGTTTTGCTAGGTTCAAAGCAAAGTAGAGCTGTGTATGAAGGGGTCAGCATCAGGTCTGCACTGCAAAGTGGACCCAGAGTCCTTTCCATTCCTTGTAAACATTAATGTGGAGGCAAGCCTGCAACGCTGTATCCAGAAACTCTCCATCTGAAACTGCCACCTGGGTTGTATATCAAGAATGCTCCTCTGTGTCAAAGTGACTTAGATCATCCAGGGGAAGAAATGGATATTTCTTTCTTACCGATAGGATTTCAAACAGCAAAAGTTCTGATAGCCTGTGATTTGGGAGAACAAAGTTTCTCAGTGTGTATGAAAGCAGTAGTCACTCAAAGGAAGGGACACTGTGCAGCTGCAGTGTGTTCTTGGGGAAATAGTGGGTCCTGCTAACTTTGCGGCTGGCTGGCTCTGAGTCTGTCACCCCAGCTTGAAGAACTGTGGGGCTGAGCTAATGCTGAGCTAATTTTATAGTCTGAGCTGGTTCTTTACGTTCTCAGACATGATTTCTGACCCCATGGCGTTGCTTCCAAAAGAAAGACGGAACAGAAAATGAGGGTCCTGGTAGCATGTCAGCATGTAGATGTTATTTGTGAACTAATTCAGCAGAGACTTACTGAGTGGCTACTGTGTGCTGGCCCCTGTGCGGGACACTGGAAATTCACTGACGGACAAAACTCAAGTCTCTGTCCTCAAAAACTTAAGAACTAGTTGGAGTAAAGCACAGAAAAACACAAATAATTACAACAGTGCATAGCAGTGCTACAACTGGACTTAAGAATAGGGTGCTATAGACAATTAATTCAGTCCTTGGTGTTCAGGAACCTGAAAAACATTACCCAAGGTTGTGGAAAAGAAAGAACCGGTAAGGGCAGGTAGAAAATTGGAAGTAGAAGAAAAAGGAGTTTGACAATAGAGTCATTTGGCTTCCAATCCAGGCTCCACCACTTACTGGGTATCACCGCAATTCAGTTACCGTGTTCTCACTTGTCAGGTAAGAATAACAAAGCAGGGAAATATTTACTGAATGCCAGACAGAGTTCTAGTAATAGGAATGCATCAATGAACAAAAGAGACAAGCACTCTAGCCCTTGTGTAACATGAACTAAAGTGGGTGTTTATTTGCAGAAAATAAAAGCCATACATAAATGAATTATTTAGTATGCTAAGTAATAAATGCTAGGAAGGGGAGAATTGCCAGTGGAGGAGACCTGGGAGAGGAGGGATTGAGGGTTAAGCGATGTGACCAGCCGCCCGGGCCACGCTCGGGTAAGCCACGGGGAACCCCAGCCTGCGTGAGACACAATTTTGACCCCACTCTGTATTTGCTTCCTCTTCTGAACTACTTATTAGCTTTCTTACTTCAGAAAGCCTGATTTTTGTACCTTAAATAAACTTCTGATTCTATAGAACAGCTCAAGACTCCTCACTGAGAACATTTCTGGGCAAGTCAGATGGTAGTTGACTTTTCTTACAAACACATACGGCAGTTCAAGAGTTGAAGGCAAAGGCAGGGCCCTCTTTTGCCTACAACGTTCTAAATTTCCCTTACCTTTTTCTTCCCCCTCTCTTTCAAGCCAAATGTAGATTAAAACAGAGGTTCTCAATACCCACCCTTTCCCCCTACCCACATGGCCAGAACAAGTCGGAAGGAGTTTTGCTGCCGCACTTGCCAGGGTGGGGCGTGCTTTGTGCACTTGGTGAGCAGAGGTCAGAGATGTTGGGTGGCTTGCAATTCATGAACCGTCCAGGTTAATCTTTAAAAAAAATTATTCCATTCAAAATGCCAATAACATCTTATTAAAAAACACTGGGTTAGGAAAAACAAACAAAAAAACTTTGCCCCAAAATTTAGCTATTTTGAAAATTGGATTATTATGTTCTAGAAACTTATTTGTTAAGGTGTTTCTATTTTACTCTAAAATACTCTAGAATATGCAATCTGATATCATGTATGTCTTCATGTATGCTACTAGGGATAGTCAGTTCATCTAAACAAAACTTTATACTCCAGATAGTAAGTATATAATCAAGATGACTATGATTCAACACCATAGGCTTTGTTAATTCAAATAATATATATAAATGTTAGAACTTTTTATTTGTAAAACTGGTTGCTCACAAATAATTAGCAAAATTATGACTGTAATGGGTGATGGGTTTTTTGACAGTGAAATTGATGTTATTAAAGATATGTAGGTTTACTCTGCTCCCTGCGTGGTAGAGCATTCTTGCGCCTCCATGGTCTAAAGGAAGTACCTCAATAATGATGTTCAAGGCTTATTTCCTAAATGGTCCTAAATATATAACAAGGTTAAATTAATTATGGTAAACTATCATTCTGCTCTTAGGTATATACCTCAAAAAATGAATAATATAGTTACTAAAAGGTATGTAAATAATAATAACAGCACTATTTATGATAGCTGTGGAAGTGAAATCTATTCAAATGTCCATCTACAATCTATTGATTTTTATTATATGCATGTAATGGAATATTATATGTTAATGAGAATAATAAACCATTGCTCCACACAACAGGGATGAAAGTCAGACATAAGAGAATATATACTGCATCATTCCAATATAAACATTTTCAAAATCGGTAACACTAAAATTAGTTATGGTATGGTTATGAAATGGGACATTATGCAGCTAATAAAGCTTTTAAAGACATTGAAAATGCTCATAATTTAATAAGACAGTAATTTTTAAAACTGTTTATATAATATCTGACTCTCATTCTGGAAAAAACATACATGTAAAATTGCTAGAACCATGGAAATGTGTGCAGAGATGTATCCATGTGGGTCTCAATAAGAGACATATGATACACTCAAATTAGGATAAGTAAAGGAAGTGTTGTCTTAAAATAAGAGGGCAGGGTACAAGGGAACGGGAGGGACAACACGTTTACTCGGACCCATAAAGGAGCGAGTTGGAGAGGAGGGCGGCCTCGGAGAGGGACGGAGCCTGGCCAGGCGCGAGGAAGGGAGAGAGGGTGACATGTGCTCGCGTTCCTCCCTCCTGCGGGCTGCCGGCCGCCCATTCACAAGCCGGAAGCCGGAAGCCGGAAGCCGGAAGCCTAGCCGTGCGGTCCACGCGGCCCAGCGCGGGACCGGCGGGCAGGCGGAGGCTGGGAGCGTGGTGGGGCAGGTCCCCAGCCCGCGCAGCTCGGCGGATTCCCGGGTCACCGAAAGAGAGAAGACGCCAAGGAGACGATCAATTCTTCTTTATATACATTTATATTGTTTTACTGTTACAATAATATGTGCATTTTTTAAATTCCGGGGGAAACGCGTGTCAGTGTGAGCGAGGAGGGCTGCGTAGGGGCGTGCGAGGGCGTCCTGTGCGCATGCGTGCGAGAGCCTAGCGGGGGAGGGGTGTGGGAGACGCGGTGTCTGGGAGAGTGTGTGTGGGTGTCGGGTCCGGGGCGAGGAGGGGGCGATAGTGAGCAGCGTGTGCCCGGCGTGTGGAGCGGGGGCGTGGGAGACGGCGTGTTTGTGAGCGTGTGCGGGAGCGTGTGGTGGCTGTGAGACCACGTGACGGTGCGTGTGCACGAGCGCGGTTAGTGTGCGGGCGAGTGTGTTCCCGTGCGGTGGCTGTGAGACCGCGTGACGGTGCGTGTGCACGAGGTGTAGGTTGGCGGCGAGTGTGTTCCCGTGCGGGGCTGTGAGACGCGTGACGGTACGTGTGCAGAGCGCGGTTAGTGTGCGGCGAGTGTGTTCCGTGCGGTGGCTGTGAGACCGCGTGACGGTGCGTGTGCACGAGCGCGGTTATGTGCGGCGAGTGTGTTCCGTGCGGTGGCTGTGAGACCGCGTGACGGTGCGTGTGCACGAGCGCGGTTAGTGTGCGGCGAGTGTGTTCCCGTGCGGTGGCTGTGAGACCGCGTGACGGTGCGTGTGCACGAGCGTGGTTAGTGTGCGGGCGAGTGTGTTCCCGTGCGGTGGCTGTGAGACCACGTGACGGTGCGTGTGCACGAGCGTGGTTAGTGTGCGGAGATGTGTTCCGTGCGTGGCTGTGAGACTGTGACGGTGCGTGGCACGAGGTGGTTAGTGTGCGGGCGAGTGTGTTCGTGCGGTGGCTGTGAGACCGCGGCGGTGCGTGTGCACGAGCCGTGTTAGTGTGCGGGCGAGTGTGTTCCGTGCGGTGGCTGTGAGACCTCGTGACGGTGCTGGTGCACGAGTGTGGTTAGTGTGCGGCGAGTGTGTTCCGTGCGTGGCTGTGAGACCTCGTGACGTGCGTGTGCCGAGCGTGTTTTGTTAGTGTGCGGTGGCGGAACCACGTGACGTGCTGTGCAATTACTTGCACAATTACAAGTAATTGCCTTGACAGTTTTGCAAATGTCCCATTTATATCAAACTGCTTCAGGTTTTCTAAAAACTCAAAGCTTAAACAAGACATTAATAGGGATTATCAGTGGATAGAGGGGTTTTGGTAAGTTTTTTTTCCCTTTAGTTTTGTATTTTTTCACAGGTTTTTAAATTTGTTTTTAATGATGAACATGTAGGGCTTATGTAATAAGGTTTCTGTTAACTGATTTTAAAGCAGGTTGTTTTCCTAAGTAGGTGAAATAGGCCCTGAATTCTTTCACCGATAACTTCATTTTCTCTGCACTACCTCATTTCATTAAAAATATGAAAGTTTCCTTATTCCAAGTTACATTTTAATAAAAGAAAAGCTTGTGGCAGCAAATGACTGAAGTGATATTCTATTTTTAATTTATTTCAAGACTTTCTGTTTTCTTAAAGTGACTTGCTATCACCAGCATGAGGTCTCCCATGTATTGATGCATTCTGTATTGTTACCCGTGGGCTCCATGGTATCTATGAAACTTGAGTTGCTTGCTTGGGGGCATGGATACTGGTTTAATTTTATGTAGATAACAATAAAAAAAGTGATTCTGCATATCATATTTTTCTTTGCACTTAGAAAGCAACCTCAACTATTAAAACGTAAACAGGGCAAACTCTGTTGCAAATTCTATCAGGTCTACCTGAACTCAAAACAGTCATGGTTGCAGAAAATACAGCCTTCAACCATGAAACACCCAGGAATGCCTTTTGCTGTTTGATCAGTGCTTTTCCATTTGTTTCAATTGATTTCTCAATAGCATATCTGTTAAATAGACTCACTTCACACAATGTTACTTGGAAACTTCTAGGAAAATATTGACAGAAACAATCTCAAAAACCCACCATGTGCCTTTTTCTAGAGCAACAGGAAGAGCGACCGTCTTCTACTCAGCAGCCGTATCAAACCACTGTTGTGGTTCAATGAACACTTTATTTTCCCACTTGAATTTAAGAGCTTCTGCAAGATCACTCCTGCCAATCTTGCGTAGATGACGAGCCAGGAGGCGCAGTTTGTCAGTGGAAGTTGGGAGCGATTTTTTCCAGAAGCAAAGAAGTTCGTGGATCTGTTCCGTGAGATTGTCAGGGCTCTTGAGTGTGATGAGCTGAACGGTGCTGCGGCGCAGAGGGAGGGAGGAGGAAAGAGACTCCGCTTGTCCTTGTTCTTCGGAGAGCTCCTCAGCCAGCCAGTGGAACAAGTTATCCCAAAGGGCTTCTGTCCGGCACACGGGGGAACACTCAGCATTAGCACCCTTTCTTGGGGGGTGACCTAGTCTAAGCTTTCACACCTGTTTACAGGAAATCCACCAGCTCTTTGCTTTGGCCTCTGAGCAGAAAAGATCTAGAACCGCCCAAAAGGACAGTTGCAAGACTTTGATCCCTGCCATTGCTGGGATTCCAGCTGTTGCAGAGGGTTAAAAATGCTTCTGAAATTTTAATATATTTGAGAATCAGAAGGGCATGTTAAAAGGGCTTTTAGGCTTTGCCCTATATAATTTCACTGATTAGAGTAGGAGCAAAACAGCATTTTTAACAAATTCCCAGAGGATGCTGGTGCTGAGGTCCCCAACCGTACTTTGAGTATCACTGTGATTTTAGAGGATAAAGATATTTCTCTTTATCAGTACTAATCTGATGCATCAATTATAACAGCAGCTACTCAGTCCTCACACTCATCTGGAGCTGTACACACACTCAAACACACGCCAAGACCCACCACCCGAAGAGCAGTTACGTGCAAGATCGTTTACACCAACATTTCAATTAGGACTCTGGACTATTCAGATGTGCAGACAGCTCCTCGAAGTATGTCCTGTCTACTGAGTGTAGCCTTTCCCTTACTCTGTGACTCCCAGAAACCTCCTATTGTTATGGTTGTTACTGTTTTTGTTGTGTAATTTAGACGTATTATTCTGAGTGACACTCTTGTGCCCTGTGATCTCTCCCCTTCCATGTTCCAGCTCTTTCCTGCATCACAGCCACCTTCGTCCCCTCTCATGCTCACCCCTGCACCAGTTGCCCTGGGCTGGTGTGAACAAAGAATTATGTCCGGCCTCTGTCACTCAACTTTGCCCTTCTACCTCCCTACTCCCATAAATTGCACCCTGATTTTATAAAAACACTTTTCTGTGAAAGCTACTCAGGAAAGGGGCCAAGATATCCTTGTTCTCCACTGTCACTTTCAAACCAGTGTTCTGCTGTCACCATGCAATCCATTCATCTTGACGCCCGTGCTACCGGGGTAGGCTTTTCTGTCCCCACCCACAGCGTCAGCAACCATCCCAGGCAGCTTCATCAGCAACCCAGTTGGCAATCACGCACACCTCTGACCTCTGATCACATGGTTCCTTAAGCCTGTAATGCCAGGGACCTGTCTCGTGACTCTAGATAAGAAACTGTCGTGGCCAATCCTCATGTTTCATCATCAGCCAGAATTATTCCACCTCCATGGCCTCAGTTTCTCAATTTTACTGCTGACCTCTAGCTCCTAAACTTCCACAGCTTCTATTCCTTTGCATCGTAATCATTCACTGCCCCCTGCAGGGTCTCCTAGTCCAATGTACCCGCACTGCTCCCAACATCAGCTATGTACACCAGTGATGGTCTCGAATCCACCCCAAAATACGTTCTCCTCTTTAGTTTTCATTGTTCTCAGTTTGTCAACCTGAATTACTTGGGCTGCCTGAGACGATGAAAGTATGTTGAATGTGATCAACAAACAGTATGCTATTTTATACCATTGAAGCCCTTATTAGCTTGAAAATCCATTAAAATTCTTTTTTCTAAACTCAATTTAACGTTTTCCATAGCAATCACCCAAATCTTTTCTATTATCCTTAAGCCTCAATCTCACTCTCATTCTGTTTCACTCAGCCAATGTCTACTTCTCCCACTTTACCCAAAGCCACGAGACCTGAGTTCTCCTAACCTTATTTTCATTTCTAATTACTTTCTTACAGAATCTCACTCCTCCTTGTTTGTGGGATTCTAGCCCCCACAGTGTTTTTCATCACGTGTTTTCCTTCACACCCGTCCCTGAATCTCCTTCTCCCCGCAGGCTCCTTCCGTGTGTCGCAGGCACTCAGGAGCCTCCCTTCCTCGCCGGGGCTACTGTGTCAAGCTATCTCTTTCCTTTCCTTTTACCAAAAATCTTTTCATGCCTGATGATGACTTGAGTCCTCAAGTTCCTCACTATCAACTCACTACTTAAATATTTGCTTTAGGGTTCTATGCCCTCCTTCAATAATTCTCTCTATTGAAGCCTTTCTTTCAAATCTTCCTAGAGGCTTCCTAATTATTACTTACAGCAACTGATTCTTAGCCTGCATCTTCTCTGAATCCCATGAAGCATGTTATTCCTTTCATTGTATTCTGCAGCCTTTCCTGGTTTTCCTCTTCCTGCTCTTGCCCTTAGCTGGCTCTCTTCCCTCAGATACTGCTTCATTACTGCATTATGTCTCAGGCCACTTCTATTTCTGTCCCCTCCCCTCAGTGAATTCATTAACTCTTACTGATTTAACCATTACTGTTAACTGTGCGAAATATCCCAGATCCACTCACTCTATCTTCATCTTTGGCTTCGTTCTTAAACCCTGATATAGCATTTGCAATATTCATATCCTAATTATCTTTACCAGTGTATATGACAGCCAATACAAATGCCATATTTCTAAAATCAAAATCATCAATGTTTGCCTTTCCCTCTTTCCACCTGATCTCTCTTCACTCTATTCACTTTCTTAGTTAATATGACTACTCAGCATGAGTAAGCTAAAACATTTGATATTATTCTTATTTCTCAAAACCTATTTCTTATCCCCTGCACCAGGTCCTAATAGTCCTAGCTCCAAACATCTCACATATTTCCCCTACTTCTCAGCCTTACCCATGTTCTTCCTGCCTGTTTCCTGGAGTATTGCAGGAAGCAGGGTTTTAGCCTGTATCCCTACTATCCATTTTGACTCACTTTGCTCTTCCACACAACTAACAGAAAGAAGTTTTGAAAGCCTAATCTGATCTCGTCAGTCCCATTAATAAATCTCTTGTGAGGTCTTCCTATTGTCTAGATTTCTCAAGTTGGCATTTAAAACTTTTCATAGTTTTATCCCACTCAGTGCTCAACCTCGTCTACCACCATCCTTCCTACAGCAGGTCCTACGCCACTGGTCACATGGGAGGAGCCCTGGGGACCAGCAGCTCCAGCCTGTGCAGCAGCCTGGGACTTCCCGGCACACACGAGAAGGGTCCGTATACTCTTGTGCTCTCTGGACTGTGCTTTTATCTGAACATCAAATCCTTCAAAAGTTAATCGTACTAAATGTACTGAGCTTTCATCAACTACTATTGTTGTTTTCTGTATCATCTGCTTGTTTAAAAAAAAACAAAAACACTTTTATTATCCCTGAGAGGGTGTATAATGCTAGAATTTATTCCCACCCTACTCCTAATGGAGTCCAGTAAAGCCCGTGTGGTGTCTGCACACACCCATAAGGGTAGCTCCCCACTGGAATTCCATACCATCCCTAGTGGGCCAGACGCACTCACTGATGTCTTTTGAAGACTAGTAGGTTATCATATTAATGGCTATTAACTTGCAAATGAAATGTTTCAAAGGCTAAAACAAAATAAAAGTATCAAATTCTACGCTGAACCTGAAATCTGCATTCTTGTTATCTTACTGAATTATGAATAATTACAACCAAATATTAAATGAGTTTTGTGGTATCATACCAATATATACTTCTACTTCAAATCTATTGACCTCAAATGTTGATTTGAAGTGACAGCACTTAAAGATTTACAATTTAACAATCAACATTTCAGAATAAACTGCAGTCATCCATCTACCAAACTAAGCAATTACTAGTTGTGTGAACAAAATAATACTTCATCAGCCTCATATTTCTTATAGAGTTCAATATACCTCTAACATGCATATTTGAGAATGCTATTTTTGTTTATATGTGCATGACTCCCCAAGGAAAATCCATTTAATAGGCTGATAAAATTAATGATTATTTAATTGGAAAGTTACTTCCATTTCTTTTTATAAAAGAATTCACACATATATATAACATAAGAGAGAGAAAACAGCACTATAATGATGACAAAGTAAATATTCCTTACCTAGAGGATCTGTAGAAATTCTTTTGGTACTCTGTGGACGGTTGATTAATTTTTTATGCTATTGGAGAAAAGGTACACAGAATAAGCAGAAGAAATCATTAATTTGTGAACAAGCTACAACAAAAATCCATCTTGACCTCACTCCTATTTAGAAGAAGTCCTGAATTGCATACCTTGCAGAATTAGATCTTGCATTTTTACATGCATGCTCAGCAATGCTTTCCTAAGATAAGGCAAAATGTATTAACCCAACTCTTTCAGCAAAGTTAAATTTGAGAATACACATTTAAATATTATTATATCACTCATATTAACTCTGAATGAATATTTTCCAACTAAAATTTAAAGTTATTAAAGCCAACTAATGTAGAGCAAGCCATCTGTATGCTGCAAACACAGTATTTTGTAAAATCCCTGTGGAGTAGCCCTCTTGTCTCAACACTCAGCACAGGGCCTGGCACCTAATAGAAACTAAAAACAACCAAGTCATTGAGCAGCTATTATTCTAAAACCAATATTTTATCAAGAAGTAATTATATATATATATATACATATGCATACACATATATATATAAATCATTACTTTTCTACACTGTCTGCAGAACAATTTACTCTCAGTTAATATGGGATAGTGGAAACAGCAAAGGAGATAAAGAAAAAACTGGGTTCAGATCCCTGTTAAGTGGTTGAATAGCAGTGTACTTTGGAGAATTTATTTAACTCTTCTGTCTCAGCTTTGAAATGTGTTTATTAAAGACTATATCACAAAAACTTGGGCACAAAGTTCAAAGCAGCTTTATTTGTAATATCCAAAAACTGGAAACAACTAAAATGCTCTTCAACAGGTGAATGGTTAAACGAACTGTGGTACATCCACACTATGGGACACTACTTAGTAATAAAAAAATAAAAAAAAAAAGCAAATCACTGATACATGCAACATGCAACAACGTGCAAGGGCATCATGCTGAGTGAAAAATGCTAGTCTCTAAAGGTTACATATTCTGATTCCATTAGATCACATTCTTGAAATCACAGTTATAAAGATGCAGAGCAGATTAGCTATTGCCAGTAGTTAGGATGGGGTTTGGAGGCAGCAATAACGAGGCAGCACAAAAGAGATCTTTGTGGTAATGGAACAGTTCCGTATTTTGAATGCTGCGGTGGTTACACAAATCTACACATGTGATAAACTGACATGGAATTATATATATATAGTGTGTCAATGTCAACTTCCTGGTCTTGATATTATATGATAGTTATCTAAAATGTAACCACTGAGGAAATCTGGGTGAAGAATACATGAAACCTCTCTTTAGTATATTTTCAGCTTCCTGTGAATCTATAATTACTATGCTCAAAATATTTTTTAAAAGCCTACTTCACAGCAATGATACAAAGAAGATGTGAAATGCTGTGTGTTAATGGCTAGCACACTGGCTCCCAGTGAGCACCCAGCGTACGTCAGCTGAATCTGCTATCGCATTTTGTAGGCATCCTCAGCGTAGGCATTACATAAACATGGAAGCATGTAAAACTTCCGTGTAAAAGTTTTAATGTGAAGGAATTATCATAAGAAACACAGTGCAAGTATATTATAATGTAACACTGAAAAAAAGCTTTATGATTTCTGAGGCATCAACTATGTGCTTGAATCCCTCAAAAAATTTCAGATGAAATACCAATTTAAATAGTGCAACAGATTCTATTGCTCCCATCACAGGGCACATGGCCTGGATCAAGCCTGGGACAAAAGGTTTTTATCTTTGTATCAGTAGTTTCTCCCCCTCAGTCACTCTTCATTCACAGATGTCTCATAGCATTTTGATGCACTGAGGGTGGTTCTAGTGTTGATACATATTTTTGCACACACTTGAAAATTCAATCGCGTGCTTCATCTGACACACAACCATAGAAGCAGTGGACTGAGGCAGCAGAGGCCGTCTCAGACTCCAAGCACTGCGTCATGGCCTCTTCATCAGGGATTTTCAATGCTGACTTCTCTTTTCTTTCGTCTTTCATTATTTCCCTTCTCTTCTATTCCTTTTTTTTTTTTTTTTTTTGCATATTTTTTCTGTGCACTATTTTTGCCTTGCACACTAGCTTTTGAACCTCACTGGTGCTCAGCGTCAGGCCCAAGCCAAACTGAGGCCTCCACTTGTCCTTGTGCAGTCTCCCTCCGCAGGCCCCCAGCGTCCCGGGCGGCTCCCTGGATGCCCTCCTCTGCAGAACCAGCTTTAATCTCTCTCCAGTTCCCTCTCTTGCCCTCTTCCAGTCAAAGGGTGCCCTTCGGTTACATCTTTTCAGGTTCTATTTGTTAAAGGAAGTTTTCTTATTCTTTCAAGTAATCTGTGTTTTTATGTTAATATTGTAGATTAATATTTTAATTTACCAAATACAGTTTCTTAAGTGCCACTTCCAACATGTCACTGTTTGGGAAGATTGTTGGGAAAAATCTAAATGTGGCTCTCAAGCTCTCCATGAACTATTTCCCTGCTAAACAATCTGCTTTGTAAAAGGGTGTGGTGGAGCAAATGCAGCAGTTTTTCCCTCATTATAAACCTCTCAAGGGCCTCACTATAAAACTATAAATGATTGAGATATGGACAAATGTGTCATGTTTATGCTGCTAACCACAATGCAGACCTCATCTACTTGAAGTGGTTAAAAAAAAACTTGAAACCAAAGATAGCCACCTACACCGGACACAGGTGCGACCGTGGAGTTTCACAGCCACTGTCGCTAGGACTCCTTCAATTACTGACTGTTCTTTCCATGCTGCCTAAATACAACCCTGTTATTGAGTTCTGACAACTAAGTAAACCACTTTTAGTTGAACTCATGTGCGACAGTTTGATCTTTGATGTGCAACCCAACACACTGGAGTTGGGCACATGCATTCTATTACCCAGCACTGTCCTCCACAGCACCGGCAAACTTCCCCTCCTTGGATTTTCCATTGCTCCAGAATCCAGTCACGGTTAGTCTTGGCTTTACTTGTTAGACTAATGTCTTTGAGGCCAAGAAGATGTATCTTCCTCCTATACATGTTCTTCACCATGGTCGACATGGTGGTGTTCATGTAGAACAGTAAAACGTATTTAATTTGTGTGACAATATCTTCTCTTGACTTAAATAATATGCCCCTTCAAATCCTGCCATATTTGCAAGGTACTGATCAAATTCCACCTCTTTTATCAACTATACTAGTCCTTAGTTTCTTATTTGGGAATCTATGCACTATCACACAACTATTATTATCACAATATAATACAACTGTTATTATCTGACAAATTGATATTTATGTTATTAACGTTATTCATATATGCTTGCTTTTCTTCCCCAGTTAGGCTTTCAGTTATCTTATTATGTCCTTTTCTGATTCTTCTTTTATGTTAGTATTTATATTTGCCACATAGTAATGATATCATACCCTTAATAAATACTTAATACTCAGGGAGGTCTCCCACAGACAGTCACAAGGATTGTCATCATCATTCATTTTAAAGTCGACAGTTTTAGCTGTGCACCAAATCTGCTCAGTAATGCTTTTAGGTATGATTAAATTTCTTTCACCATTCCCTACAGAAGGTGTTTCAAATCTTTACCACCTTTGCAAAACCGCTACCTTATCCCCCTTGCCACCTCTCAGCAGGGAGTTTTATCTTCTACTTATTAAGTAAATAAAGCAATAGTTCTTGAAGAAAAAGTTCTTGAGAAAAAAGCAAAAAAGAAAGCTCACACTTTGATTCAGTTGATCTCAGAAAAGGCCACATTTGTGATAAGCAAACTGAATGATTCTGGAACTGAGGTAGGGTTGCTGCACACACAAAAACCCTGTCTAATATGACGTGGGTGGCACCTCTATAGATCCCAGTGAATGCATGGAAAAATGTTAAGAAATCTTTATCCAATAAGCGATAAAGATTCCAAGTGTGATGTTAGGACAAAAATAAAATTCTGAATGCTTCTTACTACCTTAATACTACCAGAATATAGAAATAATAATATTAATTTCTATTAAATAATTTCATAAATTACGAGACAAATTTCATAAATTCTGGCGAAAGTCCTCTTCACGTACTCCTGGCAGTTCCGTGAGCGGTGCTCTCTGGAAGCCACCCTGCCCCCAGGAGTCACAGCGCTCACTGGACCACACGACCCTCCGCACGGCTCCCGAGGGCACGGCAGTCCCTCTCCCGCACCATGCCCACCCAGGGGGCAGGGCGGGCAGGGCAGGGGCAGGACACAGGGGCAGGGCATGGGCAGGGGCAGGGCAGGGCAGGGACAGGGCAGGGCAAGGGCAAGGGCAGGGAGGGGCAGGAGCAGGACAGGGCAAGGGCAGGGCAGGCCAGGACAGGGGCAGGGCAGGCAGGGAGGCAGGGGCAGGACAGGGGCAGGCAGGGCAGGCAGGGGCAGGGCAGGGCAGGGGTAGGGCAAGGGCAGGCAGGGCAGACAGGGCAGGGGCAAGGCAGGTCAGGGCAGGCAGGACAGGCCAGGCAGGCAGGGGTCAGGGCAGGGCAGGGGCAGCAGGGCGGGCAGGCAGGGCAGGCAGGGCAGGGGCAGCGACAGGGGGCAGAGCAGGGGCAGGCAGGGCAGGGCAGGCAGGGCAGGGCAGGCAGGGCAGGACAGGGGCAGGGGCAGGGGCAGGGCAGGGCAAGGGCAGGGCGGCAAGGGCAGGCAGGCAGGGCAGGACAGGGGCAGGGGCAGGGCAGGCTGGGCAGGACAGGGCAGGGCAGGGCAGGGCAGGGCAGGGCAGGGCAGGGCAGGACAGGGCAGGGCAGGGCAGGGGCTGGGCAGGACAGGGCAGGGCAGTGGCAGCATGGGACTTGGGCAATCACGGACGACACAGTGGGGCTGTGCGGCGGCAGGTAGCAGCGTTGCGGAAGGGCAGACACTGTCACGGCCGTACCCACGGCGGTGGGC